GGTAGAAGTCAGTGGAGACTTGAATTTCAGTCAAGTGGTCTCAAAACCATTATTATAGCATTTTTTTTTAAAATTCTAACTTTTGTTTTCACTCATTGCTTATTTGCATTTTCTGTTGTTTGGTAATCAAGCACCAAAACCACTTAGGTTTGGAAAAAGGATTATGATTTTAATTAAAATGCACCATGTCGCTACATATATTGTGTGCTATAAAGCTCCATTTTATTGTATATACTTAGTCACACAACCGCAAAAGGGTGCCAGTGTTATTAGGTTTACTTTCTGCTTATTAATGATCAAATAGAATGCACTTTCTGGCCTACTACAACAACCCTGTCTTCACAAAATTAGATCCCACAAGAGGAAATGTTGCCTTTCTCCATATCCCAGCTTGTTTGGAAGCTGAGATCAGGGCACAGGGTCAACCCTTTTACAGCAGACAGGGTTAAAGAGTTCACGAAAAGACTCAACAGCTCATGATTCTAGTCAGCAAATCTTTTATATTGTTGCTTTACTTTCACTTCTTATCAACCTGTCAATTATATATTAAATCAACACAGAGGCCAAGAACATGGAGGAGAAGCTTCAAAAAAGGAAAGGTTTTAACCTAAACTTTGGTATTTTCCTAAATCGAAGTAACTAGTTTTGGTGCTTAAACGTCCCACCAGTGGGAGTGAAAACCAGAAGTCAACAAAGAGTTAAAGAAGTCTAACAATAACAGTCCCACGTAGGGTTCCTACCCAGATTTGTGCCACCATCCTCCCTTCATGTTTCCTTACTTGGATTTTGTGACTCTTTCAAACTGGACGCCTTTTCTCAAGAAGTCATAACTGAGAAAATATGTTTGTTTCAAAACAAAACCGATTATGGAGTTTAGTTGTAGAGGAATGTGATTTTGTGGAGGCAGAACTGACTAGAAGGAGGAGGAGGTTGGTTCCTCCTGGGAATGATAATAACGATCGCTTAATGGGCTGATAACGTCTGAATCAGGTGCTAAAACAAACTGTTGGTCATTGATTGTTTCTTGCAACAAAAGAACGAGTCCAATTCGAACAAAAGCAAGCTGAATGAAGATTAAATGAAGATCAATGTATGACAAATAGAAAGTGTATGTTTTTAATATAATTTCTTGTGTCATCGTGTGTCAGACAAATTTCCTGCTCTGTGTTAATCAGCAAATCTTCTATTGAGAAGCCTTAATCAGATATAATGTATGCAATATTTGAAGTACTTCATCTCTACTTGAAATTAATATTACAAGCTGTTACTCAACTGGTCTTCCGTTTATATCCTGTTTTCATTATATGAATCATTAAGTTATCAATTTGGTGGTGGTATTTGCTGGAATTGAATCCTGCAGGGCTCATTAAGCCTTTCCTTGCTGCTAACATTATGAACAACAATGAACCAGAGTCATCCAGGCTGACATGCAGAGCCAAAGCTCATCAATGAGAACGGGAGTCCCAGTTCAGTTCGCTGGAAGCGTTGCTGCGAATAAACCCTTCAGCCACCAATAAATGTCAGCGGCTGTCCCAGCAAAGGAAATGTGTCGTGGCGACAAGGCAAACATGCTTCCTGTGTGTGATTCATTACGCCAGGAGTGAGCGTGGCTGCACCTCCGCTCGTCTCACTGAGCCTTGTTTAAATTACGGGGGACAGACAGAGACAACCAGGAAAGGTCAAGCAGTCCAGCTTGCATGTTAATTATCTAATGTCACAGCAGACACAGCTCGCACATCTGCACGGATTATCGTCAGTGTTGGTAAACATACAGTAAGAGCAGCTGACCGACGCGATAATGACCTGACCTTTCATTATAGATGCAAAACGCAATCGGACAATGAAAACACCTCACGGTCATGTACTGTGAGGTCAGTGAACTGCCCACTCGTGTTAATTGCTTGTACATCAGTTTCAATTTGTCGCCTTTTCTTGAGGGTGGGGGGCGAGGGAACTTTATTCTGACAGTCCTGATGAGTGTCCAGGCCTGGAGTGCTATTGTGACAATTTAAATGAATCTTCAGGGTTTAATTAGTGGGAATGGGATGTCAACATAATGATTTAACTATCAGGTGTGACTAAATTTCACATCATTTATCTTGGACAAGGGTTTCTCGTCATGAAATACAGAAACACATTAGTTGCAGTGACATTTATTTTTTTTGTGCACACTTTATTTATTTATTTATTGTGAACATGTGTCATTCTCTTAAGAGAATTGCTTGAATTCTCAATAATTAATATTAGATCAGATTAGATTATCTTTATTGTCAATGTACACAGGATACTACGGAGCTCTGGAAGGGACATGGAGAAAGGAAAAAAAATAGAGGTATCACAAAAGTCGCATCAATCTTATTGGACGTTTTGTGAAAACTGTGCCTCTTGCTAAGCACTGCTTGGATGTCTTTATAGTTTAGGCCGATTTCAAAATAAAACTCTTGTATGGGTGGGTGTCCTCCACTGTTGTTTCTCCATACTGCAAAAAGTATACATATCTATAGTTTTGCAAGGAGAACGTTTTGTGAGATCCTGAGAAAGTTTTACAAGATACCTCTATTGTTTTTTTTCCTCTCCCAGTTTCTTTTTTTTTCTTCTCTCTATGTCACTTCTGGGGATGATACAATGAAATTTGAGAGAGCTTCCTTTAAGGTGAAAAACAAACAATAACGACACAAGGAAACATACATTAAAATTAAGTTTTTTTTAAAAAGTATTGCACTGCTACAGTGGATAAATAATGGTTTAAAAAGTAAGTATGGCATTTTGTTAAGCAGTGAGAGTGAAATTAAACAGAAAAGGGGAGACCAGAAAACCAAAACAGTGAGCTGAAAGACAGTAAAACACTGTAGAACTGAGGGGTAATGTAGAGAAGGATAATCATTCTTTATGGTTTTGTCAATACAAGAAACAACATTCATATCACACGTCAAGTCATCTAATCCTTTGTCGACATAAAAAGTTTAATTATTGCTGCTCCAAAGTATCTCTGCGCTTTCTTACCAACAAATAATCACAGTTGTTCTGAAATAATTTCATTAAAGATTTCACTTTAGATTTTTTGGAGAGTCTCAATAGTGTTTTAGAATCTCAGACACAACAATAAAATTTTATGGGACGATGGGGACGTGAAATATAATGAAATTGAATACTGAACATATTACAGCCTTCATAGTGAAAATAAGGTTGTTCTTCAAAAATCCATTAAAGAAAACCGCAGTAAGAGTGGAAATGTGTGGAGCAGACTGGTGTAATGAGAGGAGGGGTCGGCTGCCATTTCTGTCTGTTCCTGGCTTTTAACGGCTCCCTCTTTAATAGCAGGCAGTTAGAGCCTCAGTGGGGAGCGGAGACGTGCCAGTGGTGACTCCGGCTCGGCCTTCTTTCAGTATGTTATTTATGAGCCGTTTTCCTCTGACAGCCTGAAGGAGGCAGGCTTGTTACTCCGTGCCAAGTGAAGGAGGGCCAAGTGTGGTCTGCAATCTAGTTCATTGTCCCTCCCTCTCCAAACAGGAATGCTTTCGGGATGTGGAGCCGAGCATCATCAGCTGCTGTGGGCGTCGCAGTGTGGAGGCAACTGAAGGATTTGCCCACATCACCATGGAGACAGTAGTACGCGGCAGTTTAGAAAGTGACGAGACAAATCCCATCCCCTCTCTTTCCTCCTTTTTTTTTTTTTTTTAAAGCTATTTTAAAACCTGGTGCTCAAGTGTCCCCCCTCAGGGGTTCTCCATCCCTTGAACTGTTACTCACAAAACCAAACACACAGAAAGCAAACTGTGGCACACATACAGAAACACACGCATACATATGATAGTATGAACAGAAACTGAAGCATGGAAACAGTGATGATTCAGACAGGAGTCAAAAAACACTAACTCATTTGTATATGATCCCTGAGTTGAGACAAAACAAGACAAACAGGCCGACTGTTTTCAGCTGAATAGCAAAATCTACAGCAATAGCCAGTGATAAAGTTTGATGATTCAAAGTCTGGAAAGATGCACTTAGAGACTTGATCAGAAGGATGTTTGATCAAATCTCCACAGCAACTGGCAAGATCTAAGTTACTCGTCAGTTAATGTCCAGCAGAGCGTATCAAAGACAAGAAATTAAAGCTGCAGTAGGCAGAAATCATGCTTCAAATGTGCAAAGATAGTAAAGATAAAAGCCAAGAGTTATTTAGGACAGTCTCCCAAATGCAAATCCACCATCCAAAGCCCTGCACCTTCACATCCTACTATCATGTTGGTGTTCTGCTATTTTATCTGCTCTGGGTGAAAAGACCTGAGATTGTGAAATGTTCCATCATGGACTATGGTTTGCAAAAGCATGAAAACTGAGCCAGTAGGAGGTGCAGAAGTCGAATTTCCTCTGAGCAAATTAAGAAATTACAACATGCTTAACCCTTTATAGGGCGCTCATTGAAATACTTGGTAATTTAACATTTCAGTCCTAAAGTGTTGTTGGTAGATACAAGAGGACAGTTTTTCTTTTTTGACTTTTTAAAAAAGTTTCAGATTTAGGCTGCAAATAAAGCAGCGACCAAACACAATTTCTCGCTCAACGAGGCGGAAAAAAAACAAAACAAATAATATGTGGATAAATTATTGTAAAAAAAATATACATGTATAAAGATGAAGGAACATTTATTTCCAGCTCACCAGTCAGACTTATGACACTTTTGTCTAATTATCACTCTGGCTCACTGGTGATTGGTCAGAAGCCATAGTCACTGTGTTGTGATGTAGCCTAACCTTCGCTGGTTGGCTGGACGAAGTCATGTGAGTTTTCCCACTGCCACTTTTAAAGCTTGCGGAAGTTACCATATATGGCTCCTTATCCAATATAGAGTTAAAAGTTAGTTTGGAATTTATGATGGCAAAAAATACAGCCTACTCCCTGTTTAAAGACTGGCTATAGTACAGTATACCAATAATATCTGAACAGGTGTTTCTTTTAAAAATATTTTACCCAAATAATGAAGCTGTAAAAGGTCTTACCACTGTCACTGTTGTCATCCACCAGGATGATCTCCTTGAGCAGGTGAGCCGGTGTGTGGTTGACCACGCTGTGGACCGAGCGCAGGATCACTGACAGTGCTTCGTTCACGAAGATGAAAACCACTGAGATCTGAGGAAGGTCCTCTGGGTACGTCAACTGCTTACACCTGAGAAGATAAAGTTAAGAATTTTCATCAGCTCTAAACCTACCTGAATGTCTGTCAATTGCAGATTTGCTTTGTAGCATTTCACATGAGCAGTTAACTGACACAGTTGACTCGTTTGGGAAATGTGCTCAACTGCCTTCTTGCAGAAAGTTAAATGGAAAGATTAATACCGCTTTCATATCTGTATGGTAAATTTAAGGCTATAGCCAAGAGACAGTGAAGAGTCAAAGACTTAAAATTCCTTCTAATACCTCCTTAAGGCCTCCTGGAGCCACCTCAAAGACCTCTGCGTGACCCTGAACCCAGTTCGACAGCAGCAGCATAAACCTTACTCACAGGCGTTTTGACTTGTCATAGCGGAATAATCTCAGGTGTAACGAATGACATTAATGGTAGCTCTGTTCCACTTAGTCGTGCCGGTGGCTGTGTGCAAAAGCAGGGCCTTAAAACTGGCACACCTGCTGTAATTGGGACGCAGTCATAGTTAACATGATTAGCTGCACGTGTTTGAAAAGTCAAAATGTTCACAGTGAAAGTTTTATGAGACGGACGTGTTGAGAAGTTTCCTTCTGCGGGTTGGACTTTCAAACGTGTTTCCTTGACTTGAAACATTCCCTGCGTATTCCCAGGGGGGGCAAACAGCCTTATACTTCTCCTCAAAAACAGGGATATATATCCTGAATCACTTTTTCCTCAGTGCACCAAACCAGCAAGGCAAAAAATAGCACTGTGTAGTACACCGAGTCTGCTGCTGCAGTATAGAAACACCATGTGTGGAGGAAAAGAAAAAGGTCAAGAAGACTGTATCTTTGCTTGGGTTTGACACATTCATGTCCAGGTAACCTCCACAAAACCTCCCTTACATGTTCATATAAAGAACGAGAATGTACTCATGTCGTCTTATTCACAAAGTCAATGCCGGCACAAGGACTTTTAATTTGGAGACAGGCTTGGATACAGGGGCAACAAAACATTCTATTATCTGTTAAAACAGAGTATACGGTGTTTTGTGCACCTTTGTGACCATCTTTGAGTATATGAAGAGTTCATTTGCAAACACAGATAACTCCATTTTTTGTAGATTTTCAGAGAACTTATTTTTTTGTGAACTCTTCATATTTACATCCTCTGTATTCCCACTATGGTTTGGTTTTTAGAGCTGTAATTCCCAATGTGGTGGTGACGAGATGGTTTTTCAGAAATCACATGAAATGTAAAAAAAGAGCCACAATTGTTAGAAAAGATTAAAAACAACAAAACAACCGTGAGTCCACTGCTCATACATTCTGTATGTTTACTAAGTACTGCAGGAGATTACTTTGATTGATGTATTCTGCTACAAGATTGAATTACTGTGAAATTATATTATGGGTTGTTAGCCGTCGTGTTCTTTCTTGTTGTTGTTAAGCTCATGTCTGGATTGGTCCGGTGTGTGTGTGTGTGTGTGTGTGTGTGTGTGCACCCATATTTGTATGCTTTAACCACTTCCATGGATAGTTGGGGGTCATGAGTCTCTGTTATTTTGGGGGCTCTGTCCTGGAAAGTCTAGATCCGATGCTTTAGAGAACTGTGATTAAATTCAACATTACATTTAACTGTGCAATAATTCTGGGTCCAGCAGGGCCAAGATACCCCGACTGTATACTTTGTTTTTATGCTGTATTTATACTTTATATTCTATTGGCACCATTTGCACATTATCTTGTAAAATGTGTGATATGTGAGCAACTGGATGCCATGATTTCCCCAAGCCAATGAATAAAGTATCGATTTATTGCGTGTTTGCATATGTATAAATTCTTACCCTGATTCCCTCCTGGATACTATGATTCTGTTAAATCTGTTGTCCAGGTTTCTGATCTTTCTCTGCTTTGTTTACCACTGTGGCAATAGCTAGCAATATGTAGCACTCAGTTACCAAGACTACGAGTCAGCAGCCATGTTAGCAACTCTGTTATGAGGCTGTTATTAGTGCTTCGGGTTAAATGCTTATTGCCAACATGCAAATCATACTGGAGACAAAGCACAGCAGAGACTCACGGAAATGTCATTAGCTTAGCAGGTATTTGGCCATTGAAAAAGTTCTAAATTCAGTTTTTAACCCAGTGACATGATGATTGGAACAGGCCGTTGCCTTTTTCTTGAGTCACAAAGGTCATGTGGCAAAAAAAACCCTGAGAAACGGTTGAAGTAATGATGATCCACATGCAGAATTAAAGTCTGTAGAGGATTAAAGAGATGGCTACATTTGTTTTTTCCATTTTCTTGTCACATGGAGACTCCATGCTAATGCGGCAGATCGACAGCCGAAAGCCAAACTGGTTTCATTTCCAATCTGTGGGAACTTGTTTAGTGCAGAAACGGCAGACTGATGCTGGATGTGGTGGAGACACATGCCTCTGCAGAAAATCAGAATAACCCCAGAAGCATGCATGCATTGATTTGAATTCCTGATGTTTCATGTAAACCTCATATGATCAGAAATAGCAATAATACATACAAGTGTGCAAGAAATGTGTTCACTCCCTGCCTCCTATTCAACCTCTTTTCTTCCTTTATTACCTGCTCACTCTCACCAAGCACCGTGGCATCTCTGCCTCCTTCTCGTGCTCTCATATGTGGACTCCATGGTAACCTCTTTCCTGCATCTGTGCCTACATCATGTTGCCATGCACAGTGACCCCGTTAATAAAAATGAGCACCACTCTAGCAAAAAAACGGGACATTTACTCGGCCCGAGCTCCACACATTCAGTTGCAACGTTGCCACTCTCCTCCGGTGATAATCTTTGTTCTAAAGTCTGTCAAACTTGCCTGTCATTTCCCCCCAAAATACTGTATTTTCTCACAGACGCGGCGCAACTTTGAAGTTTGAAATAACAGCGTTGACTGGACAGAGGCACTTAGCTGATTCCTATGGCAGCTGTGAGCACACAGACACACACACACACAACCAGCATCTTGTAAATCTTTCCACGCTGCCCTAATTAGACTCCGAATGCAACAGCTGAAAAACACATTTCGCTCGTTTCTTGCCTTTGTTTTCCAATGTTTTCATGTACCTTATTCAGTAGGCAGAGTCATTACGGAGGGATAATGAGTTAGCTATTATAATTGTTGTGGCTGAATTATTTACAAGAGATTCAAACACTTGTGGTGCCGTTCTGTATCCGAATGTGAGACTGATATAAAGAAACTACAGTGTAAACAAATCCACGAGTTCAATTTAGCTTCAGTAAATCCCAGTAAGCCCTTTAAGTCTTTCACTAAACACCAAGACGGAATAGTTGCAAAAGACAATGACATCAACCCCTCCTAAACATTAAAGTAATAATGATTTTTAATTATCGCTATACGGAGTCATATTTTCACATATATTATCTGGCCGCATTACAGTCAAAAATCTGGCGTGGCGACACCACCTTGGACGCGGTTTGTATAAAAACAGCACGTTAGCTGCTCTTCCACTCTTGCTGTGAGCCATCTGAACTCTTCTGGTGCTCGGTGCCCTGATACCCCTGTGAACTGGGATGTCAGCTTGAGTCAGCGGCATCCGTGGGGTCAGGCCGCGGGGGGACGGCCACACAGCAGATGGATCCCAGCGTGGCGCTAAAGTTACATCCCCCCTCTCTCTTCAACCGTTGGAACCCTCCTCGTGCTCCACAGCCACTGCTTCATGTGAGTGTGTGACTGTGTGTGTGTGTGTGTGTGTGTGTGTGTGCGTGGCAGGCATGTGTTAGGAGTTTCTCACCTTTCAACAATGAGAACTGGCAAAGGAGGAACTAGTAATTATGTAGGATGACACAACAGATGGCATCTTATTTACTTGTGAAATTATGTAGTAAATCTTTTGCATGTCGCAGTAGAAATGGGAGTACAAATAATTTTTGAGACTATTTTCTTGTTTTGGCTTCACTTCACTTTACTTTTTAATTTTTTTTTTTTTTTTACTTTGCACATCTCCCTCATGCACCAATTCTAAGCAGGGCGCCCTCGTCACATCGGCTCGTATTGTACCTGAATCCCTCTGCAGGTTGGACTGGTTGGTTTTAATATTCATTTTCTGAGAATTTATTCTTTTAATGCATGCTGTGACACTCCACTTTAAATTGCCTGTTGAAAGTCTGAATTTATATGCAAATAAGATGTGGGTGTTACTGAACTAAGAGTCATTTACAAGCTCATACAAACTTTCAAAAGCCCTGCAAAGATGATATAATTGTAAAAAAAACCAAAATAAAATAAAAACTGTGAAAAAGATAGACATGAAAATTTATAAACTAGTGACTTTCTGTCATTGATGAAAAAAATAAAATGTTTTTTTTAATCATTATAACAGGTTGTAACTTAAAAATACAATTATTTTACAAACCTACATTTGTGACCACATATTTTTTAAATAAGCTACAGCTAAAGATATGATAATACTCAGCCCAAGATAAGTCAACTTCCATGTAAAAAAAAAAAACTTCCTCAACTAAACCATGTTTGATTACATGTCTAGTGCTGACAGCAACCAGACAACATCTACCATTATCCTTTTGTTATCTCTCCAGCTATCCTACACAATTGCAGTTAGTGTCAATATCAGCTAGTGCTGTCGTCACAATAACAAAATGATGACTTTGAAGCAATACCTGCCAAAATATACTGACACCCATGCAAAAAGAGCAAAAATCTAAAACATCAGAAAAACTAAATTAATAGAAGATGCAACTTCAAACTTAAAATTTGCAGTTTTTAAAAATACAGTATCAAAGCAAGGCAGCGGAGAGGAATTACGTCCCTCATAGTGTTGTCAAAAGTTTTATTGTTTAACCAAAACTGGAGGAACTTTTAATTAAAATCAGCTCTACGGGTTCACGTCTCTCCACCTCCACATGTCACACCGCTGCTTAGAAAAGGTTTAATCCTAGCAGAGGTAAGTGTCAGCAGTGCTTTAGTGCACATTTTAATCACTAACTTTCAGTCTTTCTGCAGGAATTTAGCTGGTCATTTATAACTCATGTTGTTGATCTGCAGACTTGTGGGCGCCTGATTTTTGTCAGTTTGCAGAAAGTTCACACTGCGTTTGAATGCAGAATTGTTCGCGTAAAAGATAAACCCAAGTGAAACAGCAAATATTGACTCTCCAGACTTCAATGATCGGAAAAGTTCACTTGTCACAAAATAAATCACACTCGCTAACCCGTCATCTCTTAATTTCTTTAAACAAGTCGGCACGTCTGTCAGTGGGATGCACATGTTTTTTCTTTCAGTCTAGGTTTAAAATATCTTTTACATATTCTTCTGTTGTCTGTCAGCTGTTAGCAAAATAGGGCCATAAACTGCTTAGTGTGTCAGGAGCATTTGTTTTTGTTTTTTTCTCTGTAGTTTGCTTATGAGAGAGAAAAAAAGTGGTTGAGCACAGCAATGCATACAGCAAATATAGCTTCTATTAAAATACTGTCATTCTTTAAGTAAGTACATTCTTTAAGTACCAATACCAGTTACATTTTCTAACTTTAGCTGTGTTGTGATATCTTTCTAGTATCGGTATACTGTGTGCCACTGTTTGCTAGCCAGTGAAAACCAACAGTCGATGTTTTAAAAACACAATAATAGAATATTTTAACCATTTGGGAACTGTGAACACAACATGCACTGTATCACCTTTAAGTCGATATATCCCACTTGTGTGAAAATAGTTGTCTATTTACATATTCAGCAGATACAGAGCCGCATTTATTCAGAGCGGAGTTTCTGTCTATTAGAAACTCATTTCACACATCCCTTGTCAACAGCTGCTGCCTTTTGCAGTCTCAACTAAAATCACATCTCGTGGGATTTGAAAATCGCACTTATTCATACAAAGATTTTTAGATTAAAACAATTAATCATCTTGCTCTATATTAAGTCACCTTCAGTGATCCAGGTGTCCACACCTTTTGTTTTGGGGATTTTTTTTTTACCAGTAAGCTAAAAATCTGCCAAATTGCAGAAATGCAGAATTCCTCCTCAGGTATTTCCACAGTGGTTAAGTATAATACAGATAACTTAGTGAGAGGCACTCAACTTCATTTATGTAATTTCTCATGACACGCTGTAGCTAAATATTGACATCTATTCATGCATAGAACTGACAATCTGCTAGCGTTTCTCACCGGCTAGTGTTTGCTGTTCCAGACTGGGAGCGCTTAATTTCATGCACTGTTATCAATCACTTCTATTAGCGCAGCCCACATGCATTTGACAGCAGAGCTAATAAAAGGAAAACTAAACCACAGAGAGTGTTTATGATGGAGCGCGCTGCGTGCGTCTATCTATACTTTAAGCCCTGCTCTCCTGTTCTATTCGTAAGAGTAAATGCACAAGTGTTTTGATTGATAACCCCTCCACTGTATCATTTCAGTCCTTCCCCGTACATTTATGCTCTCCCTCAGCAACTCCTTTGTTCCCTCTCACAGCTTTCTCTATTGCCTCTCTCAATCAGCCTTGCCAGGTCTATAAATACAATGACAAATCTGGCAGTGAGTTTGAGGAGGGATTTTTTGCACCGCAGCTCTGCTTTGCAGAGACACAGCCGCGACACGGCAAGTGTGCAAAACAAAGTAACGTATATTTCACTCTTGTTTAGTTATACGGCTAAAGTGGAGGCTGTGTTTAATGAATATTACTGGAGTAATATCTAGAAAATGTCACAGGGGGCAAGGCAGCCACATTGCTTCTAGCTGAGATGTGGCGTGAGGCTGGATTTCAGTGTCGAGATCGTAAAGTGATATTGTAGTTCCATTGCCCTAGTTACTGGATCCAATTTGGGGCATCGCTCAACCTTAAATTTGTACCTGTCTACAGTATCGGGGAAGCCTTGTAAAGCCGTAACAGGATGAGCGATCGACTCATCTGTTAGTAATGGGACTGAGCTCACTGGCCAGCTCTCATAATTTGACCCGGAACAAGCTTTGACAGAAACAGAGCGCCAGATTAAGATGTATTCCTATCACACCTCCCCCTTTCCTCCTCCTCCAGCAGCCCGCAGCCCCGGCCACTCCGTCTGACTTTTTCCCCACTGGCTGCTCTTATTTGCTGTGAAATTTCACATTAACCTCGCGTAACCCGCGCAATGCAGGCAACACCAAAGCAACTTTCCAATCCACGCGCACTCCTCCCTGAAAGATAATCGTTTGCCTTGTCATTTCTCCGCCTGGCTTCCCCCTCCCCCTCCAGCTCAACCACCCACCCTCATCCAGCAGATAAACTCTACCACTGGAAAGAGCAACAATTTGCAGCAGGAGCTTCTGCACCGCGGAGACCTTATGATCCCATTCTGCAGTATCAGACGCTTAGGAGATGAGGTAAGCCTGTTTCTTCAGCCTTCCTTTCTGGTTATCACCCTCCCACAGGCAGACAAACACAAGACGAGAGGTCCTCGGGGAAACAGAGCATGTGTTGTGCTTCAATATAGTATTGGGTTTAACAGCTATTTTGACAAAACAGAAATCAAATCTTCAGCAAAGTGACAATAGAGATAGAGGTGAGATCAGGAGTAATTGAATAAGAATCCTCTTGGAGGAGGAGAAGCGAAGGTGAAAAAGCGGGTTTGATGCCTCGAATTGCATTTTTCTATTTATGAGTGAGACAAGTTGCATTT